TAGCTATATGTATGTATTACAATCTCTTTGTCAAGTGTTTTTTTTCATGAGCTCTTAACCTCTAATATTCTTCACACTATAATACATGCATATGTATTATACTAAAACTTTCTTGAATCACTTAAAAAATATTTAAGAAAACAACAATGTGCAAATCAGAGTCAAATTTCCAAATAACACTCTTTTTTTTTTGAACATTGATGTTGATTGTTGTCATGTTCACACGTATTGTCTATGTCTAGTGTCATATTAGGATTTGTATTTGCATACAGAGCTCATCTTCACATACTTTATAATGTGAATTCAATATATCCATCAATTTTTCATTGAAAGCTACTCATCCCAATCTAATTTCATGTAAATTGCAACAAATTTTTTGTCTTGTTAATCATCTTTTGACATAACATTGTTAACTTGACTCTCTTGTACTTGAGGCTTCAGTTTTAACTCATGCTCCTGATACTCTTTACACTCAAATTATTCGCTTTTCAAGACTCCCGTCATCTGAACCTCTTGTATCTCAATATTGTCCACCTTATCTCCAAGCGGCATTTTTTTTTTCAAAACTAAAAATCCTTCCTCAATTTGAGTGATCTGAATGGAATCTGATCTGACTACATTTCCCACATAGTACACAATGTTTATCTCTTCAACACAAAGAAGATGATCATAGGAGGTAGATACGCACCACAAGATATAACTAGTTCTAAAAAGGTTGTAACTTCCTGCTCTTAAGTGCATTGGAGGGTGTTTGACATTCATTTATCATATGGAGGTGAAGTTGGCATATGTATGTTTTTGAATTTCCTTCAGTTTTATCGGATCGGTTTTACAATATAAGTTTACAACATGATTTTTCCCAAATTTTGCACCTCACGAGTTGCACAAGTGTGAATATAGTTGGAGATAAGAGTCAATTGTTGCAATTTCATGAAGTAAAGCAGATTTGTAAAAGTATCAGACAAGATAAACCTTGTCCACTACAAATTCTCAACTACAAGGTAGATATCAGACGATGAAAAGTGATTAAGTAGTCAACCCCAACCGATGTTAAGAAATTTAGTCTATATTAGCATAGATTTTATTTTCCAATCAGATAGTAGATGATGGATCTAATGAGAACCTATCAGAAAGTAAGATAGCAGGTCATACAAAGCATTTTTGTGATGAGTCTATATTCTATATATGAGTAGCTAGAGTCTCTTTCACAATAGAGAAATACTCCTACCTTTTCAAAAAATATTCTTGATTTGAATTGTACTTACCATAGTAAGTCTTGTGACAGGCTTTACGAGTAAGTCAATGTATAGACATTTGCAGTCTCTTTTCTTCTCGAAGTACTCTATTTGTGTGCTTTGTCAGGTGGAGCATTGTCAAAGTGAATGATGAAAGAAGCACAAAGTAGATAATCATAGCTTGTAACTTTAAAATTGAGGAAGGATTTTGAGTTGTGAAAAGAAAAATGTCGCTTAGAGATAAGATTGCCCAGGTGGTAGGGGTATTGAGAAGCAAAGAACCTGAAAGTAAAGAGTATCTGGATAATGAGTTAAATTTGAAGCCCAAAGTACAAGAGAGTCAAGTTAACGATGTGTTAGAAGATGATCAGCAAGACAAAAATTATGATGTAATTTACATGGAATTAGATTGGGATGATGAGCTTTCAATGGAAAAATTGATGGACAAATCCAATTCACATTAAAGAATATGTGAAGATGAAAAAATTATGCGAAGATAGGACCTAGTACGACATTAAATGTAGACAACACGTGTGAACATGAAAACAGTCGCCATGATGTTCAAAAAAAGAGTAGAGATATCTCTAGTGCCAATATAAGGAAATGAGACATAAACGATGGGAGAAGGTTGTTGCATCATACTACAAGAAGTTGCAGATTCTCGCAATTGATGCAAGATATGCATGCAGCTCACATTCTACATCTACTCCCAATACAATATTTACTCTCTTTTATCTGTTCATATGAGTTTGCTTTTGCTAAAAGATTTATAAGCTTCAATTCAATTTTTATCCTAACGTTTACATGTTTCCATCTCAATATTTAATGATTTTTTCCGTGTTTTGTGCCTCTCGAATCTAAATTCTTATATGTGGTTTGTCTTACAGGTTGAGGATTCTAAACAACGACCCGTCTTGGCTCAAAAAGAAGAAATCTCATATCCTTGATGATTTCTTAGTCGACGTTATAATTCTCAATGGCAATTTAAGTCAGTGATCTTTAGACTGCCTCTCACTCAGGTTTACTTCAAATAGTTTTTTGATAACTCATCATGGTTCTAGAATGTAAAGATTCTTCAACTATCACATGTCTAAAATTTATTCTCACACAAAATCTACATTCATCATTTCATATCAAACATTCATTAATACTTCAAAGTAGTTATTGTAATTCAAACTTACATTGATGAAACAACTTATCACAAAATGAACTCTTAAAATTTGCTTGAGTATCTTCTATACCTCATTATTTACACTATTTGAAAACATACAATATTAACAAATGATAGTTATAATCTAACTTACTTTTACAAAGATAAACTTAGGTATGTTTGATTAAATTTCAATACGTGACAACATACCAGTGATCTATCTAAATTTCCTATAAACTTCTTTGCTCCTAGATTGAGGTGGCGATATGATATTTGAGACTTTCAAAACTCTAAAATCTCCATTTATCACTATATTAAATTAAGACTTAGTGTAGAAAAAAAAAATTTACTTAGTCAAGTCAATCAAAATCAATCATGTAATCAAAGTCTATTTTTAATTTAGATTTTGATATGAAACAAAATATTAGTGTTCATTCAAATCTTCTCAAATTACTCTAATTATTTTGCTAAGTATAAATATCAAAGTTAAATTTAATCATAACAAGCTAGATTTAATTATACTCAAGCTAACCATGATCAACTCCTTGATTGATTCTAATATTACAACAATTGATCTAACAAACCGTCACAAAATATTACTAAAATCAAATTGCTCAAAATATCCGTATTGTAATAATTATTTGTATTGCTTATATTATGAATAATAGTATGTTTGCTTTGATATCAATTGTTAAATAAACATGATAAATTACAATTAAAAAAAATGTTAAAAAAAAATTTGTTTGTCACTCTGAGTATAGCATGAAAATCGCTTCAATTCTTGCAACAATTAGTTTAAGAACGACTAAAGAATTTTTCATAATGAACACAATAAAACTAACATCTACTGCAATAACAAATAAAAGGTTTTCACTAGAGATTTTATTGCTACGATTAACCAAAAAATGGCAAACCACATGTATTTTTCCTCGTTGATATGTCAATTTTCCTATTTTTTTACATTAAAAAATAAAAATTCATTAATTATTAATTTCTAAAATTATTAAAAATTTGAATCATGTATTACGGAAGATCATTATATATTTTATTGTTTTAAATATTTCAATCAATATTTTTAATATAATCATGCATTAATTCTTTTCAATTCACATCAATTTATTATCAAAAAAAATATTTTCACTTTGACTTAATTTATCATTTGGATCTTCATGTGTACATTTGGATGTTATTATGGGTACTTTTTTCTTACTCATTTCAATTTGAAATGTGGACATTAACGAAGATGGATATAATTTTAATATGATGTTTACAGTATTATTAAAATATGAAATAGTTTTTATATTTCTTGCAATTGATATGAATTCAAGTAAATTTAAATATGGTTTTGAATTCACCTGAATTCATACGATAAGATCAAAATATTATCATAGTTTTGATGAGATGTATAGTAGAAATAATTTATATGCATCATACTAAATTGTGACACACTTAGTTTTGAAAGTAGAATTATACGTTTTGTTGGATTATATAGAAATTGAGGTACAACATTTAATGTCAAATCCTACAATTATGCATTTATCTCATTTTTTTGTTTTTTCTAGCTTTAAATGTATGTGCTTATGAATTAAATGTTTGACATGTTTGTTATAAAAATGTTATAAACGGATGAAAATTAATTAGTCTAGTTTATTATCCACCTGCAAGTTTCTAATCATGTTGTTATTACTCTGTAGCAATAATTGTACTAGAGTGTAATGTTATCTAATGGCTTTTTATACTGAAGTTTGTTTATAGATAATTTGATTTCTTGAAATTCTCTTATTTGAAATTTCGTTGAAATTTTAGTATACTATTGTAAACTAGCTCCTAGTTAACTTTATGATTACTGTTTGTTAAACTTCATGGATCATCACATTATTTTGCCATTTCATTGCAATAGTTTTCAAATACAATGGGATAGTATTTATAATGATAAGGATCCCAGCATTTAAGCCCTTTTCATCTTCATAAGAAGAAATGTTAATCATGTATCTTTCTGGAGGACAACAAGTAGGCAAAAACAAGGAAAAAAAAGGTAAGACCGCAACTTGCATTTAGCAGCAGATTTTTGGTCAGACTCAAGGAACCTTCCTCATTATTGGGGGCGAGAAGAAGTCTATGTAGGCATGCAGACAACCTTTTAGTGCTGCAATAAGAGAATCGCTGATGACGTTGGGAATGAGAAGCACCGTTTGTTGTTGTGCCCGAAAGCGATGGATGTCACCTTCGAACTGGTCTCCGATGTCCAAGGCGTCCGTCGTGCGTACGGTACAATATAGCCAAAAACCAAGGGACATGCTTCCGAATTAAGCCGGAGGGCCAGCGCAGGGCTGCGGAAGATCACCGATCCGAAGGTGAGGGGAGCAGATGCATGCAAGTTGCCATTTATAGAAGCACTGCGCTGCGCGGGACCCACGTCGCGAACCCCAGGCAGGAGACATGCCCTGCGGGCGGGTCGGGCAGCGAGGCCGGGGAGCTCCTGCCCGCGATGCGCGATACCCGACCCGCGGCCCGGGCAGCTCCTCGGGTCTGACCGAATGGTGGACAGTCTAAACGAGGCAGCGCCACGGCCGAAGGTCTCTAACTACGTGACCAGCGGGGAAACTAGAGGGACCACCATGCGAAGCGTCTTAACCGAGGGCCGGGTATCGAGGTTTTCATGGAAAAAGAGTCACGAGGGTGCTCGAGGATCTTGGGGCCGGGCGGGGCTGGGCTGCGGTGGAGTAGCGTTGATGATGCAAGAAGATGGGGGCGGTCAGGGGGGGCCGAACAAGAGCATGCGCTCGTCATCGGATTCTTCGGGAGACCTGCGCTTTGATTCCTGCCTCCAGGAAGCGATAGTGGCTGTCGCTCTCTCACATTCCTGGACCGGCCAATAATCTGCCCAATGGCGGTCACGAGAGTCGCTTTTGAATAAGAAACTATTATTTTCGGCTCCGATGCTGACGGGGTTAGGAGGGAACTACATGCGCGCATCTGACTGTGAGATAGAGAGGAAGGAACGGGATTTGAGAAATTGCTGTGATTATTAAATATCTGCTCCTGTACTGTTTGTTGCGATAAGCGTTCCCAGTGTTGGTGTTACCGTGTTTTTGGGATACAGGAAGTGAGGAAGGGCGGAGAGGGGAGCGACACTGAAGGAGAGGAGAGGGAAGAAGCATTTCGAGTTCTCAGGGCGTGCTCGTTACTGATGGGAGTTTATGGAGTTGAGGAGTCTCTCATACACTCTCGACCGATTTTCGTCTAATAGTAGTAAATGACCAGCTGAGCGGTGCGCGATTGTGCTTCTGGTAGCGGGGGAGTTTTGGGCTCACTGGAAAGTTTTTTTTTTATCCCAGGCCATTTCCGTTTAGTCCTGCTGCTGCTGAGAATATTGTTGGTTAGGTTGACACCATGGCAAGTTTTAGGGAGTTTAGCAGGACAGAGAGCTGGGGATCAGAAGCTTGGAAGGCATTATGCAAAGTGAGGGAAACTACGCCCCTAGTCCAGTGTATTACCAATTTTGTATCGATGGATATCATGGCCAATTCCCTGCTTGCCGCCGGAGCTTCTCCTGCAATGGTGCATGCCATCGAAGAGATCTTGGAGTTCACTTCATTGTCTTCTGCGTTATGTATAAATATTGGGACGTTGTCACCCGACTGGATTTTTTCTATGAAAGCAGCTGCTATTAGGGCAAATGAATGTCAGAAGCCCTGGGTGCTCGATCCTGTTGGTGTCGGGGCAACCAGATTCCGAACCGAGAAATGCATTGAGTTGATCAACTTGAAACCTTGTGTAATTCGCGGGAATGCGTCAGAGATCATGGCAGTTGTCGGTGCTAGCATTGCTCCTACGAAGGTATGAATCATACGCTCGCCAGAATATGCTCATGTTTGTACAAAACCTCAAGGTTATCAAGGAGTTGATTATACTTTGCGGAATGACCTAAGAGGATATGATGAAACAACGTAGAGTTATAACCCTGGGTATAATCCCTCATCTTCATATCTTGTGCCGTTTCTTTGAAGAAGTTAACGGTTCAGTTTGTAATTTAGATAATACACATCTCCGTGTCCTTGAGAACAAAATCTTGATACATTTCGTATGTAGCGAGGACGTCAAACCTCGAGCGGTTCGTTCTTTTCTTTCTCGATACTAGCGTTTATTAAATCCGTTTTCCCTCTCTCTGCTTAGACCTTGCCAAAAGTCATATCCTTCTTTACCTATCACTTCCCTGTCTTGCCCACCTGCATCCCACTGCTTTATCAGAAAGCCTAAGTGTGCAGGGTCGAAGTTCACGAGCCGATCCCTACTACTAGGTGTATCACGGCAGATGTGAGAAGAGTATGTCACTTTCATGAAGCCGCCAGTGAGGAAGGAAATTGTATACTTGACTTGACTGCTAAGGAAAGTAGAATTGCGGCCACTGATTTCAACATCCTAGATTCCTCTGATGTACGCGATAGGTAATGCTAATATAAATTTGAAACTCCAGACAAGTGCCGTGCTAAAACGAGGTGATTATCTCTTGTAAGGCATCATACAACCCCCTAGGATCGTGCAGGTTTAAAAACATGTGACTTGTACTACCAGGAAAAACTTCAGAATTTTCATTTTTCAGAACACAACCTTCTATAAAGGGCTCAACACGGAGTATTTGGACTATACCACTAGGAAGTAATATAATTACTTTAGGACGTCCTTGAATAATCAAGAAGCAGAGTATTACTGTTTGACGTTTCTCTGGTACTAAAATTTTTTCACCTTCGTTATGTTAAACGAGAAACCATGTTTATGGCTGAGAACCTAAATGATTAATGCCTTATTTTCGCTGTATGTGTTTTGTCATGTACTTAGGGAGTCGATAGCTCACGCTCTTCCACAGATGCCCTCGAAGCTGCCAAGGATCTGGCACGCGTGGCCCAGACAGTTGTAGCTGTTTCAGGAGCTGTTGATCTGGTGACAGATGGGAAGAGAGTACTTGGTGTAAGCAACGGTGTTGCTCTGATGCAACGGATTACTGCTACTGGTTGTGCTGTCACTGCACTCATAGCAGCCTTTGTTTCTGTCAACCCGAATCGGGTTTTGGAGTCCACTGCCATTGCCCTAGCTTTGTTTGGACTAGCTGGAGAACTTGGAGCGGAGAAGGCAAATGGACCTGCTTCGTTGAGGATGCATTTGATCGATGCACTGCATATGTTGGATGAGCAGTCAGTAATGAACAGGGTGCGCATTGCTCAGCTATAGTGAATCTATCATTGGGTTTTCAAGTTTTGTAACCAATTTTGCAGAGTCTGCTTCCGGGCAAAGCTGACCATCTTTTCTTCAAGAACGTTATGCCCTTGAGATTTGATACACTCTTAAACGATGTATTGCGACATACATGTGGGACTTGTGAGAACAGGCAACAAAGGCAGAAAAGATCATGGCTGTTAAAATTTCAAGAGAACAAAGGTGAGGGTGTCAGGTCAAGCACTCTTGACAAGCCCACTTTACACTAAGGGGTTCCACATACTTGTTGCTGAGAGTTTCACACCCACTCAAGCACAAGATATCTTTAGTGCAACATAAATTATCTGAGTGTTCATACCTTGACTTTTCGGAAATAGTCTTGTAATGTAAGTAAATACTGTAGCTAACTTGGTGACATGCTTTGTAGGAGGCAATCATACAAACTTGTCCATGGTCTTCATTTGTGTTGGATATTCTTGTTACGATTGGATTTTTTGAATAACTTCATTTAACCTTGCTTCGTTTGATCGGAGCTACTCGTATCCTGCATTTGTCAACGATTTGATCTTTTGATCGTGCACTTGCAAATCATACAAAGTCTTTCGCCCCCCTTCCATCTTATATGTCAAAAGTAGAATGTCGAATAGAATTCTTAGATTGTGTTATAGCATTACACCTAGTCATGAATAGTACCAAGACTGTTCAAGTCGTGAATATTGCGGATCATTTCCAATCTCTGCACTTTCAGGTCAAGCTCTACACGAGCTGGTCATTGTTCCAATTCTGTCGTGGTTCTTGTTGACACGGTGCTGATGGTTGCTTCGATACATCTGGGTTTTTATTTTAATCTTGAGATGTCGCAACTGTAGGAAGCTCCTCACGAACTGAGATTGATACCTCCAGTCTAAAAGTTTTTTTAACTGTCTGAGAGAAGACATCTGATGGTGGCTCACGGCCCTAGGTCTATTCTACCGTATCCCCTGCCAATCAATTACTCAATCAATATTTCTTTACACTATACTGCTGAGATTTAGTACTCAAAACGGTAACTCCGAACGGGGTTACATACTCATTCTGTGATGATATCTTTGGGTCATCAGGTCCGCTTGGTTATCTATGAATTAGTGTTTGATTTTCGTTTCTAGTTAGCTTCATATTGTTTTGTGTGGATGAGTGATACTTATGTTTGCACTGTGTGGATGCAATGTGTTGCATATAGTGGAGTTTCGACGCGAAATGTCATTTTTTAGTTGTTGATCGTTTGATGGAATTTTAAATTCTCAAGCTACCAATTCTTCACGATCCATGTCATAATCAACAAATGATGGTGAAACCATGTCAAGAGTCACTTACCATGTCGAGTCGTTTCATACAAACTGCTTGTGGAAGTAATCATCTCTTGTTTTGCTTGATGGGTACTAAAACTTGATTTAGTTTCAGAGACAGGAGTAATAAAACGAGGTGGTAGGGACTCTTTGGCGAATACTTACCCCGCCAAAGAGTCCAAATTGTCATCAATTACACTGCAACGAGCAAATTGGAATTATGTGAGCGAATCGAAGTGGTTGAATCTGTGTGTCATAGTGTTGGAAGCTCATCAGTGAATACTAATTTTTTCTGGCATTCAGTCTGTATCCTCGCAATCAAGGACGCACGCATTTATATGTCTTACGATGTATTGAGGTTCTATTTAGATTTAGTTGTTTCCTTTGTGTGGTTAAGCGTTAGAATCCCTCAGTCAATCTTAAAGGTATCATTCTTGGTTTTGGGATGCATTGATTCCTTGTCGTTTAAAACCATCAAATTAAAAGAATTTGGAACTTAATAACATATATTCGGAGAAGGAGTTATAGTACCAACAATAAACTAACGGAGATCATTTCAAGTTCAAGGAGAAAAGAAATTGTGAATAGAGTTTTCGGTACTTCATCCAAATCCATGATCTACTGATATGTGTTCGATATCTCGGAGACAGGAAATTTTTAATTGTTATAAATTTAGTTAACTAAATCAAAAGTGAGGTTTGTACATTGAAGCTAGGTTTGTACACGCTAACAAAACTTCGCAACGTGTATCAAACTTTCTTTCTATCGTGCACTGAAGGCCGTGTTTGATGGTTGATTTGGGTTGATCAGCAGAGGATATTTCAGATATGAACTTCTGATTATATAAGTGAAATGAAAATGGGATATTTATCTTTGAACTCAGCAGATTTGCTGAGTATATCACAAAATATATAGTATATTTTTGTCTCTAATATTTTGATTCATGCTATTTTTGAAAAAAAAATCAAAAAATCAAAGTAAAATTTGAAATAAATGACCAATCTCTCTGTTCATGGAATCAAATTAGAAATTGCATGCTTGATATGTTGAAAATTGCTAATTATTCAATCATTTTTTTTAGAGATGATGCCAAACATTTCAAAGAATTGTAGGGTAGAATCAGGGAAAAAGTAGAAAGGGCCTTAATCAATTGAATAATTATTGTAAATCATTTTGAGATTTATATATAAAACATTAATTTTGGTAATTTAATGACTTCAAATTACCAGAATTCACAACCAATATTTAAATTCATTTACAAAATCATAGTGAAGACAGTAAATAATTTTCAATTTTTCAAAATTTTCACATCAACAATAAATATACTGCTGAGCATAATTTTCTTTTTTTTTTTACTTATTCCAATATATAAGATTGCAACCTTTGAAATAGATAATTTACACAATATTGATAATCTTATGTAGCATACAAAACTGGAATATCCATCATTGATGTCGCTGAGTTTCATGTTTAAGATTGAAATTCTACAGATATATCTTAATGCTGTAAAAAAATAAAATGTAAAAGAGTTGTTATAAGTTTATCATCAAGCCATAACACAGATAAGCATTTTTTAAATCATGGTTCACATTTTGCTCCAGCTGTTACATTGGGAGGTCTTATTTACAATGACAATGATTGTGCTGAGTGCAACCATGTCTAGTATTCAAATGCATCGAAACATAATTCAATTAGATATTAGACTTCAATCTAAACATCTACAACTTCCATTCGATTTCAAGCTTCATACATGTGCATACATATGGTAACGCGGTTGAATTGTTTGTTAGTTTGTTACATTAAGGAACGAATTCTGGGTTGGATGGTTCAAAGTAAGCCGGAAATTTGAGTTGATCCTACACATATTTTGGACATTTGCATCTTCAAGGCTAAGTTTCTGGCTGCAGAGTAACAAAGTAATTCAAAGCAAAGTAATGTCCCACATTGAAGCTTACTTCCTCATCACTGATCGTAGCTGAGATGGTAACTTCATTTCGTTCAGAAAAAGTCGGACTTCAATCTACGGTAATACTGCTGCAGCTTACATCTCAAGTAATGGAACATTTCGAGCTTACTCTCAGAAAAGTCTGTGCCTGGGCCGAGCAGATAGACCTGACACACTCCGCTGATGACCAAGAAGAACCAGGCGAGGTATGGAAAAGGAGGTCATGGGGGACAATCAATGGGACGCTCGAAGAAAGGGAGTGAGGGACATTGATCCGTGTGTTGCAAACATGCACCTTATCAGGTGAAAGGTCATCAAGAGGATGACCTTCCTTGTCACCGCTGTACTCGTTCCCAAACCACTTCCCGGGTGGGACTAACCAAGTCGGTCTTTAACTCGAGTTCCCCACACTCCCCGGTCTATCCTCTGGTCTCTTGTCGAGACGAGATCCAGATAGCTGTAGTCCTCCTGCTCTTTTTCTGCATATCCGCAAGACAATTCCAAGGACCAAAGGATAAAAAGCCCTCACTGTATAGAACACACCAGCCCACACCCTTCGCATGTGGAGTAGTCCTCCTGCTTGACTCCTAAGTTCTGGTTCTTCTGACTGCCTGCGTGCGAGTAAGGAGGGTCTTTTGGAACTACTGGCATGGTGCCGGGTAGAGACTTTACAGTATCTGGGTTGAACTAGCAAAACCCCTCCAGAGTTTCGAGCTGATCTGCCGGTGTGGCACTCATGTGACAAAAGGTGTTATTACTGTATCCTCTTGTCACCTCTCTCTCCTTCGACTGAGCAAGGGAGGACGTCAACATTTGTATGTATATTGAAACAATTTAGGAATGAAGAATAGGCATCTGGTATTATCAAACTATGGCATACTTGAAGAAATGTCATTTAGGTTCATATTGCACATTGTGAATCTTTTTTACCTCTCACACATAAATGAACATGAACGAAGATTTTTGCATGTTTTTCATTCCCAACTTGCTTCATCTTCCTTCTTCCAAGTTATTAATCTGGAATCCATTACTTCCGCTCATCCAAACGGCCCAGTCCACACCAGCCGGAGGACCACCTGATCCACTTGCGAAAATGGAAGTCCCCCCTTGGCGCCAGGGCAGAATTCCAGAAAGGTTCTGTGAAGGATTTTTACCGGAGAAAGGAGGATGCTCGAAGATTTTTGGCACTGTGGGTTCGACCGGTCAGGTGAAAAGCGTGGAACAAAACGTGTGAACAGCAATACCCTAAATCTGAGCCAGGATTTCTCTCAAGACGTGAAGATCACCGTACTTGCAGTAGAACGGAAAGCAGGGAAGAATCTTCGGCGAGGAGATGCAGCTTCCTCATATGCTTCCGGGAACATTTCCCGGCAGCAGTTGCTTCGTAAGCTGTGAAAGTTTGGGGGCCGGCCTGCTCACCACGACGGCCGTCGATCGGAGGACGGTTCGAGATTCCAGAGCGGACGGTCGGTGGAATGCAGACGGATCCGTCCTCTCCTCCACGTAGGGCGGGCCAGTCCCTCCGACCGGTCACGCCCGTGCACGGACCCTGTAATTACGAGCAGTGCAATCCTCCGAGGCTGCGATTACCGTGACGCAACCCTCCGACCTCCCTCCTTCCATCTTTCACCGTCGCAAGCAGCAGCAGCCGACGTTCGCCGTACCTCCGGTAACCTCCGGACTCAGGATGTTCTTTATCTCCCGGGTCGGTCAGAAAGTGCTGATGAGCTGGAACGCCCGTGGGCTGAGACGACATTGAGTGAAGGACGGGCCATGTCTAGTCCAGTGCCTCTGCTCTAACTGCAACACTTGCGACTAGCCTCTCGCCCGTCGCCCAACATGGGGTCGCTCTTCATTAATGCAGGCCTTTTCTAATTGCTATGGCCATTTCCCTTGCTAGGACTTGGATTTATCTGAACTCTGCAACTCCGACTTTACCTCCGAGGGCTTCGGTCGTCGGTAGATCGATTCTTTTCACTGAGAATTTCGTATTACCATTGTGTACAAGAAGTGCATTTGGTCCTATATTTGTAATTTGTTGCAATTGGCCCTTGCATTTGTAGCCCTGTTGCACTTAGAGAGAGGGGACTGTACTTGACCTCCGGATGAAACGACCTGGAAGGGCTGTGGCTAACAAATAAATGTCGTCCTTGGTAGGATCCACACTCTCCTCGGTCTATCCTGCTCCCTTTCAATTCACACAATCTGAATCATGTGAATCATCAATGGGAGGTCATAGTCTCTTGGGTGAAATTGCCACGTTTC